AAGTTAACAGTTAAAAGAAAATGCTGCCTTTATTTTAATGAAGAGTGTTTAAGTGGGCAGCTTTAGGACACTAAGTCTAAGGCAGAATCAGTGGATCAGCTGCCTGCACGGAAACGTAGCAAGAATGAAGGAGCGTGCAGATAAAAGATGCTCCTAATGCAGTTTCTCAGTACATCGAGGATCACATTAGAAAGTCCCTTTCATAGACTGATTGAGCTTTATCTTTATAAAAGCAGTTGGATTTTCCATTTCCACTTCCTCTGCTCCCTCCTTCTCCACTGTCACTCTAATTGAAAAGCTATTCCAAATCAAGCTGCCCTATTAGTTCAGAATTTCCTAATTTCAAAATTTTATTCAATTTACACCTATCTGCTTTTATACCAATACAGTCACTCAGTTCCATAGCTCTTCTGGTTTCAAACTACTAATTCTTTGGTGCCTACAAGTATTTAATACTCTGTTCAGTTTTCCTTTCATGAATCATTGTCTCTTCCACTCTGCTCCCCTAAAGCTGGCGACCCTTTCTTCTTATCAGCCTCTTTCAAAAGGAGGTACAGCATTTCTTCTCTAGGCACATAAGGGCATTTTTGCCTTGACTGACTTGCTGAAAATCTCTGGTGTGAGGTATGAGACTGACATTTCATATACTCTTTCTTTCTGAACGAAGACATGTTGATCATTTGGTCCCTTCAAGCTGAAGGATGTCATCAGCCTTGGCTGCAGTAATACTTATTTTATACCATATTCTCTCTACCCACCCAATTACAAGCAATTTACTAGAAATACAACTACAATTACTAAAAACTTAGTCCAAGTTTCCATCTGGATTTATGATCACCCATAATCTAGAGATTATCCATACTTTCTACCTTTGCTTGTTTGTATTGCAGCCTTGTTCCTTATTTTTCTCTCTTACCTAGAAACTTCATTTGATAACACACTCCTTACCCAACCTATACTATTGTTTTGAAACATGCAGTAAAACATGTTAGCTAATTCGTTATACTCTAAATCAGGACATAGCCTTAGATCTGAGTATCCCTTTTTGATGCTTTTATGCCACAATTTGCCAGTAGTCTTGCTGAAAATACTTTTCTTAACCTGGGGCCCATTTTACTCATACCTTTGGTGTCAGATCCACTAAAAACTTCCTAGTATTTTGCAGTTACATTTCAGTGATAAAAGCTCAAGGAAACGAAATTAATGTAAAATTTTCAAACATTGTAAACGTTTTAGTTTATGTATCATACACAATAAGACTATTAAAAGTAAAACTTCTCTTCAAATACAAATTAAAAAGCACAACAAGGAGAGCCTAAGGGACCCTTACAACCCAGTAACTGTGCTATATCAAACAGACGGGGTTGCACTCTCCGCTATCAAAGATCTAACCCTTAGCCGTCCGTCGGGCTATCACAGCATTTGTTTGCTGTAGTTTCTCCACCAGTGCTAAGGCACTTATTTCTGCACAGCTCTGCCCTCGGGCTGCTTTTTTCCTCTGCCTACACAGATACTCAACACTGTCCTTTTCTGACAGAGCTCCCTGCATGATCTCATCTTGTCCTCCCCTTGCCTGGCCTCCGATTGGCCTCCTGACAAAAGCAGAAGTAGCTGCAAGAGTTACAAAATAAGTTCAGCAGCTAGATAAAGTATTTAAAAAATATTTCGGGGGAGAAAATTATTCCCTTTCTAATAATCTTTTTTAAACAAATACTGATCTGTAAACTCCTTTTTATTTGAATAACAGGCCTTACAATAAAGCTACCAAACAGCTTAAAATCTTGTACAAGAAGGACCAAAGCAGCAGATCTCACGCTCACAGGAGGTTTAGAGGCCCAAGTAAACACAACAACGCAGGGATGAGGAAGAAGCTGAGGAGGGCACGGCCCCACGTGCCAAGCCCTCGAACATGCCCATGCCCCAAGCCCAACGCCGGTCGCTGCGGCCTGCGAGCAGAGGAGCGCGGCCCATCCGCTGGGCCCTTCCAACAGGCGTCACAACAGGCCAAGTGATTTGCCGTGGCGAGCCCAGGAGCAGCTGTCACCACAAGAGAGACGCCAGTCTTTAAAGGATTCGTCACTCGTCCTCAGGGTGGGGAATGCAGTGCGGGACCTCCCACAGCAGCACTGCTGGAGGACTGAAAGGAGGCCCCGCTGCCTTCCCAGGTGCTTGGGCAAAGGGCCCGGCCCTCCAGCCATCGCTGCTGTTCATGAGCACACACGACACCTCCACAGCACGCGCCATGCCACGTGCGTCGCCTCCCAGGGCAGCCTCCAAAACAGTTCTCATGAGCTATTAGCTCTTATCAACTGTCTCACGGGCCAAGTGAAATGAGAAGGACATGAAGGCACAGCTTCAGGTAGCGTCTCGGCAGACAGGGTTGGGAAACGCTCGGGACAAGCCCTGTCCTCGGCCGCAAAGACACACTAATAGTGGATGGGCACTAAAAGAATTTGGGGAAAATATTTTTCCCCAATATTCACCAATTTAAACTTGTTTTAACTGAAAAAGGATTTTTTTTTCCCTATATATTTCACAGTGTCAAGACCTCACAGTATGGATTAAAAATGTTTCTAGGCTTTGGCAGCATTAAATTCATGCTTGGAGGAATGATCTCAAACCAGGGTAAATCTCCTGAACTCTCAGGCCAAAAGGAGGAGTAAAACCCAACAACATACACTTATTCATTACAAAATAATGAATATAGAAAATAATGACCTTATTCATTAGAAAATAAGGTCATTTGGAATCTGCATCTGGGGACTTCTCAAGGAGAGTGATTGGAAGAAGCGTTCAAGGTGTCTTTCCACAGATAACAGGAAAAAAGTTACTCAAAACATGCAAAAATCCCTGCTAACAACTTAAGCACACCGTGGAGGCAGATTTCAATGATGTAGACAGCATACAAAAAAGGAGAAGTAATCTGAACATTTTTATGAAAACTGCATGAGGAAGTAGAGCCACTATTGCTTTAGAAATCATAATACAGTAACGTATTCAGACACTGGAATTAACCCTTTGAGAAAAAACAGGATAGTCTCAAATAGCCTCACTTTTGCATTTCTTGTTCACTGTAGTAGCACCCCCAGATCATATATGAATATGACATCTTTGGTATAGCAGCTGTGTGATATATCTCAAAATATGTTAGGGTATGTCCAGAACTATCAATTCTTAATCAATACTGGCAACAAGAGCACTTAAAAACATGACGTGGATTGGCATGAGGAAATCCAAGAATAACTAGTCAAATGAGTATGCACACAGTGAAACGAAAATAGCTCTGAAACTGTATATTTAAGATTGCTGGAAAAAAAATGGTTGTACGTGCAACTGGGAAATAGGGAACAGGGCAAAGCACTGAAAAATAGGCTCTCAATATACTGAGAGAACAAGTTAAAATTTCATTATCAACTTTCAGAGTATTGTATCAACTACAATGAAAAGACTGCTAGAGTAATGTGCAGAGAAAAAGTGGAAGTACCAAATTATCAAAAACTACTCGTAGAAAGCTAACAGTGACCTCAGGCTTTCTAGGAAGTAAAGGTTGACCAGAGGTTTTCAAGACCCCTGCCCATGCCCCCAAAGAAAAAGGACCATGCAAATACCAGGACTGACAGCATCATCTCCGTTAACACTCGCATGGAGACTCACTTCGGGAAGAGCTGGCAGAGATATGCTATGATGGCTTCCAATACATACATTTTAAAAAGGAAATAAAATTACTATATCTCACTGAATGCACTCATAAGTGGAAATTCTCATTAGACAAGCCTTAAAAAACACACACACAACCAGAAAGAGATCTGATAGTTAACTATTCGACACAATTAGCAGGAATTCAGTAAAAAAAAGATCAAGCCCAGGCAATTGAACGCTTTACAATCAACACAGTTTCACAGAAGAAAATCAAACAATTTACTGGACATTCAACAAAGTTAATAATCCCTTGCAACACAAAAGATAAGTCAGTAAGTCAGTGAACACGCCGTGCCGCGAGGGCCAGTTTTGCACGAGGAGCTCTTGGAGCACTTAGAACAAAAGGCAGCCATGAGTGAAAGGGGTTGATAAAAACTGAAAACAAACATGAAAAGAAGCATTATTAAAACCCAATTATCTGACTGCAAATTACTGTTTTGGAAGAAGGTAACCTTTTCTGATGTTCTAAAACTGGGACCGCATACCCATTTAGCACTAGGCAGAAAAGTTAGCCGTGCTCTAGTCTGGAATGGGAGAGCTACCCGCCCATTTTCCAAGCTAGTGCACATTATGTTGACGTTCATCAGCTAAGAAAAGAAGCACCAGAATTAAATGCTCTACTTAAATACAACATGTGAGGAGCAAAAAGACCCCTATGTGCATTTTCCACTTCTGCTATGCAGAAAAGCAATAACAATACAACACGGTCAACTACTGCTGCTCAATCAGAACATTATAACAGATTAACGACATAAGATATTGGAAAAACAGCCACATAATATTATATCAATGGCATTGCCACCTATTTCTTGACCCAAAGTTCTAGAGCTAATGACTAGACCTGCGAGAAACTGGGGTACTTATCTGCACAGACATATGCAGTCCAAGGAACAAAAACTTGGCAACAGATGCTTTGGGGATTGCAGAATGGATATGAAAGATTTAGAGAGGTTGACACGCGACAAAAATCAGCCAGCGAGATGGTTTACTAAGACAGAGGGGCCTGAGAGTGTTCATTCCCATCTTGAAATAGCAAATATCAGAGATATCAGTATTTCTGGGGGGTAGGGGAAGGCAACACTTCATCTGTAAGATTAAACAGGGCAATGAACAGCACTAATTGGGAAAAATGCAAATTCCCAAGGTCATGTAACCACAAAACAAGATGCCATTGAAATACTAAAATCTGCAGCACTAATACCACAGAGCGCTTTTTGTTAAAGCAATATAGTAGCTGACAGCATTTATCCACATTACCACCCTCCAAGCATCACTGATGCACCAGAAAAGGCTTTTCCTACCAGCTGATTTTGGAGTGAATTTGTCCCTGTTGGCTGCACATACTGCCAGTAGCCTGTATCCAAGATCCAAGTCAAATCCTTGCTGAGCTGCCACTCGACTAACCACCTGCAGAAGAAAAGAGAGAAAGCTTCATTAGGCACTGCCTGAGCCTCCTTGCAAAGTTGCCTTCATCTGCGTGTCGACACGGGCTGTGAGCAAACGCCCTGCTCCAGGACCTGCTGCACACGCGGGGCACGAGGTGCCGTTCTCAAACCACTTGCAGTACAGGCACAACAAAACGAACACACAAATCTGTTTTGGTGGTCTGGTTATTTGACTACTTGCCAGGAGAAAGCACTCTCATGTCCATGAAAGTTGGAGGGAAAAAGCTTTAAAGGAAAAAGAAAAAAAAGAAAAAAAAGGGGAGGGAGAGAGAAGGACTGTATACAAATATTATACATAATGCTGGATTTAGCCTTTGGGATGAGATGTCAACTAGGTCACCCATGTGTGTCTATCACGAGCAGTTCCTGGCCACGTTTTTAAGAGCACTGCCCCAGTCTTTTTAGGTTAAAATGCCCTTCTCGTTGCTGTGCAGTGTTCTGCTGCGCTGAGATCAGTGTCACAGTTGCTGCATTTCAACAATACTATATTGGGAAGCACTTTGCTCTACTTTTAGAATAAATAGCTCTGTGCAGGAAGCATTTGCCAAATACATTAAATACAGGGGGAAAAAAAAAAAAGAAAGATTTTTTTGACTTCTCCTGGTAAATGGAAGCTAATCTAGGCAGAATCTAAATTCCTTGTAGGACTTACCAAACCCAGCAAGTCAAACACTAAGGTTGCGGATAAGAAGCAATCAACTGTTTCTCCAGGCCACTGACTCGGCTATCAGCCAAGAATGTATCCTCATAAAAATCCGCATAGTATTAGCAATACTGTGCCTATTCTGGCAAACCGTGAGGCAATGCTACAAGGCAGAGATTTTATGTTGTCTTTCTAGTGGCACAGGACAACTTCAGACTCAGAGAAGCAGACAAAACAGGTATTCCTAATATTACCATTACTGTTTTGCATTTAAACAGTGGCCAAGGAGCTCCACTGGAAATAAAACTCCTTGGAAGAGTTCCATCTCCTTGCATGAAATAAAAGGCCTCATCCTAAATAGCTTACAGTACAAGAAATAAATACCCTTTTTTTTTCCATCCACGTCACCCTCAAAAAGCCCCTTCCTAAGTTAATGACAATCCACATTAGTGTGCAGTTATCTGCGTCGAGCACTGGCTCTCCAAAAAAGCCGCAGGACAGACCAGTGAGAAACCAGGATCTGTGGTAACCTACAAATAGTGATGAAATGCCCAGTCTGTCCTGCCTACTCAATACTGCAATGTGCGTCTTTCTACTCCAAACTGCTTTCCAGTATCTACCTCCTCTAAGTAACACCAAAGAACTAGATTTCTTCTAAGAAAGAATGGCTGTAGATAATGCTTAAGGTTCTTGGACAGATTTTTGTTGCTGCTGCTGTTTCTGCTGATTCAAAATTACAGATTAATGTGATTTTACCAGGTGAGAGTGCCCAATCCCAATGTTTTTCTTTTAACACACGTGTGCCAATCTCAAAATTGAGCAACAGAGAGGTTTAGGAAAATCAAATGAGATTTCCCATAATCACTACAACAATACACAACCCTAGAACACATCTAGTGCTTTATCAGCTTCTTATTTCTACAATTAAAATAGAGTCAACTTTAGAAGGAAGAGGAAATAATTTAGAAGAAGGATATAATTTTTTTTGGATAAATCAGGAAATATTTCCAACTTGGTAAATTAAATGCTAATCCATTACATATAACAGTCTGATAGTTGTTACCGTTCTAGCTGTTAAGAGTCTATATCCAAACTTTAAAAAAATAAGATTAAAAACCACAACGGGAGTACTACCAAATACTTGTCTTTCATGTGAAGTTAGCAATGGGAGCGTAAAGTGCTGGGTCGCACTGAGAGCTGGAGGACACTTCCACACTTGGTAATCCATGTGTGTCCCCTTCCAGGCACACACAGTTACTCCTTGCAGGAGGACTGACAGGGAATGCACAGGCAGCTCCTTAAAAGTAAAAGATCTTGCTAAAGGCTCCCGAGCGCAAAGTCCCATTAATGTGTAAACTCATTTCGGCACCATGCTCTGTAATATCACACAGGAACTCACCCTGGAGTGCTGCTCAGGTCTGCAAAATAGAGGAGAAAGGGCCCTCCCATGTTCTGCTTTGAATGCCAAGTATGTTGGCTACTGCTGAACTGTGTATTTTGAAACAGAGCAGGAACAAAGGCAGCCACCAGGCCTGCCCAGCAGCCAGCACGCGAGGCAGGCTCGCACGGTGAGCTCATTTCAAAACACGGGCTGTGAACCCTGAGACGCTGCCGGCCAGAGGGGCTCCCAACTGGCACCTTGATTTATTACAGAACAAAGTCTCTAAGATAATTCAGGAAACAGAGCCACTCAGAAAACCATGAAAGCCCATCTATGATTGCAGTGTCTGCTCTATCGGTTGGAAAGTCTGGGTCAGTTTAGGACAGAACAGGTTGGGACCCTAATCTGTTATACTCTCACTTGACACCCGTTCCCTTTTCCTTTTTTTTTTTTTTTTTCTCTCCTCTCTCTCTCCTTTTTTTTTTTAAAACCGGTTATCTTGCCATGGCTGAGAGAAGAAACAGATTCCAGGACGAGCAGTGCTGACACTGACTGCAGCCCCATGGCCTGGTGACCATCTTGTCACAGCCCGCTCCCAGGCTGGTTAAGTTACAAATCGGTAAGCACTCCAAGCAGAGGACCAGGCAAGAGAAAGTAAAATCTGAATTTGTGAGTCTACGGAAGCAGGCTAGTCAAACTATTCTGTCATTGCTTAAGTTTTTCATCAGAAATGTGAAAGGAAGCAAATTACAAGTTCTTTTTGGTTTGAAAATTTCTGAATTCTAAAAAAAGGAACTTCTTTTGAAAATCTGGAAAAAATCCTTCCTCCCCACAAAGAAAAGCAACAAAAACTTGACTGCCTAAAAGAAAACACATTTTTAGCTAAATTTCCATTTTGCCAAGAGTCATTTTCCGCCTAAGTTTTTTTTCCCACCCACTCCATTAAAGAGGGTAAGAGCCTCTGTACAGCTGAAGCGGCTCTAAGAGCTCTGGAGCTTTTGCGTTTTCCTCCCTTTTCCTCCCTGGTGGCCTGGAGCTTTGTACACCTCCCTCCCCTCCGTGAGGAGTGGGGCAGCTCACTTCATCTCCCATTTCTTTGGGGACTTGTGCATTTTTGTAGTACTTGTGTTTGGTTCACGGCTTATGTTTTCTCCCAATTTTAAGAGCTTACTTTTATTTTTAAAGGGCAGTTGAAGGTATATCTCTCAGGCTTAACCCAGGGCCTAGGCACTTCCCACCCTGCTCTAGAAACATGAGGATTCTCAGAAACAAGACAGCAACTTCTGCCCAGGACCAGAAAATGTGAAGAACTCACTGAAGGACATTTTGTAAACTTAATACAGTCACGTCAGCAGCAGTAAATGAAATTTACTTTAAAGGACCCCAAAGGAACAAGCCCCAGTAAACCTTGTAACTGCTAATATTTATCTTCACAAATTCATTCAAAACAAAGAGCTCAAAGGGCAGAGGAATGCAAATCAAGTCTCTATAGCAGGGTGAAAAGGGAGCACGTTAGAGATTACAGGCACCCACTCAGGTAACAAAACAAAGAATTAAACAAATATTTTGTGAGGTAACTGAGCTTGCAGACATAAGAAAACGGTAGACCCAACACTCTTTTAATTTAGAAATGGTAATAGCCAAAGTTTCAAGTATTTTAAAATACATATATACTTCACTTGCCAATAGATACGTAACAGGTATGTTACTGGCAACTGCCAGTAAGAAAATCTAACAGCCCCAAACCTTTGAAACCTTTAAGGTGAGCAGCACTGCGTTCCCAACCACAACGTCACCTGCACTGGCTGCGACACAGCCCCGCAGAGCTCCGGGCAGCTCCGCTCCCAGGGTCATTGGCAGCCAAGGGAAACATGAGGAATCACAAGAAAAGCACAGAAATTCGGCTACCAGCTTCCCTCCTAATTGCCAAATTTAACCGCAGTGCCTCCCTGCCTCTGCCACCCTTCGAGGCTAAGGGACTGCGCTGTGGGAAGCTGCCCTTCCCTGTCCTTCTTGCCATCGCACCACCAAGCACCGGAGCGAGACACCTCTCAGCCTAACGGGCCTGTTAATCAAGGGTTATCTGGCTGCTTGTTACACAACTCCCTTCCCATTATGTTGCACTTTCAATGAATCTCTTAACCAGCAGCAGTTAAGAGCATCCCCCCCTGCTGGCATCAGAATGAATTTTTCCAATTCAATTTGCCGGCTGCTCAAAAACTAGAAATGCCATCTGATTGCTAGTTCAGACAGCTCTGTGTTCAGCCACTTGTGCATACTTGAAATTATCTGAATGCAGTTTGAAGACTACAGCAGAAATTTTGTAATTAGAATTCTGCAATGTAGATGGTAATTTTTCCCCCTCAGTAACACACAAAGATCAGATAAACAGGAAGCAAATTGAGGAATTTTGCAACATGAATAGTGATTTGCTTCAAACAGGAAAGAAAAAAAGGAGAAGGAGGAAGATATCTTTGTGATCTGAAGCGCTCCTTTGCTGAGACTCTTGTGCTCTCATTGCAGAAGGGCTGCCTCAACAGCACTGACAACCAAAGCAGGTCAGTAAAGTTTGACGTCATGAACAAACTTTTCACCTTCAGAGCTTAAAAACAGACCCCAGGTATGTGCTGTGAATGCCAAAGACCCTATATAGGCATTACAATCAAACTAGGGTCTTTTTAATACGTACTTGCAACCCACTAGGTGTCTAAGGACCATACTTTCAAATCACATGAACTCCTCTCCCCGCTACCGAGCCTCCTCTTTGATGCTGCTCCTGACACAGAGGTCGGACGTGCCTCCTCACACTACTCCTCCTCTCCTCTGCATGCCTCCAGCGTCGATGAACATGGCAAGGGAGCCCTCCTGCCCAGCCCTGCCTCTGAACTTCGCTTCTGGAGGCAGAAAACCAGGGACTGGCTTTAACATGGCCAGCTGA